GGGCAGGGACGCGTGCGAGCGAGAGAGTTTTCAGATCCTTGAGTCAATAAGGGAGCTGCCTCACACACGCCGCTGAATCCTCGCGCAATCTCGTCCTCCCGGCTCGACGCGTGCGTACTATGCTGAGGAGGAAACCCCGTGGCCGTTGTTCATAACCCACCGGTCGAAGCCTGGGAGACGGACACGGGCACCGCCGCCGCGCTCGTCGGGGAGGTGACGGAGGCCGAAGGGAAGTCCGTCATCTCGAGGTCGAGGGGCGGGGCCGGCGGGCCGCCAGTGGTGTGCACGGATCCAAAGCGGGCGATGAAGGCCCTGAGCAGGGCGTTGTCCGCCCACTCCGTGGTCTGGCCGTCTGCGTCGGGGCCCCCACCGCCGCGCGCCGGCCACTGCAGCGCGCCCAGCTCCTCCAGCGGCCGCCAGTCCTTGATGCGGATGCGGTAGCGGTCCTCGTCGTGCTCCTCCTCGCTGAGGACAAAACAAAGAGCTTGATATATACGGCTCTTCGGTGGGTCTGCCCCCCCCCCCCCAGGCGATGCCTGCTTACGCACATGTCGTCGTGGTCGTGGCCGCCCCAGCCGAGCAGGCGCGCGATCCTGGCGAGGCTGAGGGCGGCCTCCTGCTGGCCGGCGCGCTCCTCGCTGGCCCGGTCGGCCTCGACGACGCCCTCGTCGTCGGGCACGGCGGGGCGGCGCTCCTCGAGCCACGGCCGCCCCTCGCGCTCGGCGCCCGGCGGCGGCTCCACGGCCTCGGACAGCAGCCCGGCGACGGGCCGGCCCCGCTGCAGGTGCAGCAGCGCGCCCACCACCACCAGCCCCAGCGCCACGGTCAGCACCCGGGCCACCCACAGCGCGCGGTGCAGCCGGACGTTCATGCCGACGATGGTGTTGTGCACGGTGGTGTGTCGTGGACCGCGGCGGAGGAGAGGCGCGCCCCGGGGTCGTTCCTCTCGGAATAACCGGGCCGGCGCCCGGCGCCCGCGCTAAAGACTCACCGTCCTTATCTCCCGCGTGCAGCCCGGCGCCGGTGCCCCCGCCCCCACCGCCCCCTCTCACCCCCGCGGCGCTACCCACCGCGCGAGTGACACCTCCCGGGAGGAGGCAAGGCGAGGGGTACCGCCCGGCCGGTAGGTGCGGCTAGGGTGCGGCCCGTGCGGCTGTGACAGCCTGCTTGCCTGCGGGGCGGCATGCACCGCCACGCCGCGGCCACGCCGGCCCCGGCACCAAGGCGCTGTATACTTTGGAGGCGCCCGGCCCAGCCCCTCTCTTTATTCATGAGCCGGGGACCGACGACGCCGCGTCCCGCCTCTCTCCGTCACTCGTCATCCTTATTCCTGACTTTGCTCCATGTTCTCCGGCGAAATAAGCCTCACCATTTTTATTGCGTCTCTGGCTCCCTGCCCCCCCCCCTCCTCTCCCCGGTCCCTTGCCGCGGCTCTACGGCGGTGCCAGCCTCATTGTCTCCCCTGTCCCGCCTGCATTGCAAATATCCATCCCTGTCCGCCCCGCACTGCCTCCATGTCTCTCACACACGCTCCGTCTTCCCCTCTAGCCTACCTCGTCGTCGTCGTCTCCGTCTTGACTTGCACCTTCTCCCAGCTCCCTCCTCGGCTGATGCCGCCGCCGCCGCCGCTGCACTTTTGACGGCCTTCCTCGTGCCAGAGAGATGGATTTCCGGGAAGAGGCTGCGAGGGGGTGGGGCTGCGTCCGGATACAGCGCCCTCCGCTCTCGCCCCCTCCCCCGCTCCCCGGCGCTTTAGACGCCACCCTGCCCCGCCTCACTTCCAGACCAAGCTATCAAGTCACTCCGTCACCGCCTTGCAATTTTTCGCGTCCAAAGTGTTTTTCTGAAGGGGAAAAATGAGCTCGTGTGGCACAAGCGAGCCGGAGGGCGATCCAGCAGCCGTGCCAGCAGAGTGCGTCTCGGGCCCGGGCCCGGTCTCAAACGCACGCACGAGCACGACTCCCTGTATTTTTTCCCTTAAATATTTTTGTTCTTGCGGATGGAAGAAATTGCCAGGGCGGTTTCAGGTCTGTGTGGCGGGGAGGTTGATGTCCCATGGGTTGCCTGCCTCTATACTGACCGACAGACGCATGTTGCATAACGGGTGTCAGG